CACTCCAGTTTGGGGGACAGAGTGAGATTCCAACTCAAAAAAAAAAAAAAAAAAAAAGAGTGTCTATCTCTTAGGATTCTTGTGAAGAGACAAGAAAAGAATATAGCTGGGCTCGGTGGCTCAGCCTGTAATCCCGCACTTTGGGAGGCTGAGGTGAGTGGATTGCCTGAGCCCGCGGGTTCAAGACCCGCCTGGGCAACTTGGCGAGACCTCATCTCCACAATAAATCAAAAATCAGCCAGGCTTGGTAGTGCACGTCTGTAGTTCCAGTTATTTGGAAGGCTGAGGCGGAAGGATTGCTGGAGCCCAGCAGGTCGAGGCTGCGGTGGCCGGGAGCAGCCACTGCACTCTAGTCTGGGTGACAGAGTGAGACTCCAACTCAAAAAAAAAAAAAGAAAAGAATATATGTAATGCATTTAAAACATAATCAGTATTATTAACATAGCCTAAATATTATTATACTATTAGCCCTTCTCTCCTGTCTCCTTCTACCACAAAAACAAACCAAATTTAGAATTCTACTTCCTCCATCGCACAACCCCTCTAGCTGTGGCTCTCTCCCCTCTGACCTTCTCATGCTGTGCTCATTCCCTTTGTCCCAGAGCAGGAAGAACATCTCATTTAAAAACCCCAACTAAAGCTGGGCTCGGTGGCTCAGCCTGTAATTCCGCGCATTTGGGATACTGAGGTGAGTGGATTGCCTGCGCCCGCGGGTTCGAGATCTGCCTGGGCAACTTGGCAAGACTGCATCTCTACAATAAATCAAAAATTAGCCAGGGGTGGTAGCGCACACCTGTAGTTCCAGCTACTCCGAAGGCTGAGGTGGAAGGATCGCCGGAGCCCAGCAGGCGAGGCTGCGGTGGCCGGGAGCAGCCACTGCACTCCAGTCTGGGTGACAGAGTGAGACTCCAACTCAAAAAACAAAAAACAAACAAAAAAAAACCCCAACTATTGAAACAGTGGTGAAAAACCGAGTCTAAGAAATGCTCCCGCCACCCTCGCCCCCGTTACACAGCTAGTAAGTGAGTGGTAACAAGGATTTAAGCACATTGTCTGAGTGACTTGGAAGCCAGGACTTACCCCAGCACCTCTACATCAGGAGAGCTGGAGCAGGAAGTGGAACAGGCAGGCCCAGAAGGTAGGGATTACAGAGCTTTAGAACTGAGGTAATTCCTCGGTGGGAGCATGGTGCCACCTACTGGAAGAAAGGGAAGGGATATACACAGAAGGCTAAGAGGAGAGGAGAAAAAGAAAGAGGTGAAGAGGGAGAGGAGAGAGGAAAGATGAAAGAAGGAAGAAGATGGGGACTTGGAGGTTTTGTGGAGGGAAGAGGACTAGGAACCATTTGTACTGAGAGGAGAGAGCAAAAGCCGCCAAATCTTGGTCATTTCCTTGAAAGTGTGTTGCATGTGTGTGAGAGAGAGAGAGACTTTTTTTTTTGAGTTGGAGTCTCACTCTGTCACCCAGGCTAGAGTGCAGTGGCACACTCATGGCCACCCCAGCGTCGACCCGCTGGGCTCTGGCGATCCTTCCGCCTCAGCCTTCCAAGTAGCTGGAACTACAGGTGCGTGCTAACCACGCCTGGCTAATTTTTGATTTATTGTAGACACGAGGTCTCACCAAGTTCCCCGGGCTGGTCTCGAACCCGCAGGCTCAGGCAATCCTCTCAACTCGGCCTCCCAAAGTGCTGGAATTACAGGCTGAGCCACCAAACCCAGCCAGAAAGAGAGACTTTTAAGTATGTTCCTCAGGTGTTATTCTGTCGCTTGTAAGTTGCTGGGAGTCAGTTCACTGTGTTTGTGTGTGCGTTTGTGTGTGTGTGTGTGTGTGTGTGTGTGTGTGTGTGTGTATGAGCACTAGTAGATGTTTGTGTATGTAACTGGGTACTGGATGTGTGGACATGTGGAAGGCAGCACGAACAGATGTGTGTGTGTGTGAGCACTTAGAACCACAGGATAAGAAGTATATGTGCACCATCATGGTGGGGGCACATGGACATTCTGGGGAGCCACTTGCCCCACCCCCAGACGTCTAGTCCTTCTTGCGATCAGAAGGGGCGTTGCCCATGGCTGGGGCAGAGGCCGCTGCTGTTGTGGTTGTGGGGAACGGTCTCCAGGCAGCAGGGGGCAGCAGGGGGCAGCAGGGGGAAGGGGAGGTCATCCGCCATGGGTGGGGCTGGCGGGCGGGCAGAAGGAGGCCCTTAAAGTACCTACCCCTCGGGCAGGTGAGGGAACCAGTGGTGTGTAAGAGCCAGCCGTCCTGCCTGCTGAGTAGCAGCTCTCTGGAGCTGTTCCGTCCCTTGTGGGGCCTCAGCAGATCCCTCTTTCAGAACTCGCTGCCAAGAGTCCTGATCAGGTGATGGCCTAGGAAAGAGATTATCCTGTGGAGTATATCAATCTGGAGACAGGTTTGGGGAGTTGGAAGGGTCATAGGGAGGGTCCTTGCCGGGTCTGGGGTTGATTTGGAGAGGAGCCCAAGAGTATAGGTGCCAGGGAAGGGCATGGAATGACCTGAAGCGTGGGAGTAGGGCTTGGGGTGCCAGAGGAGGAACTGGTGGTATTAGGATCTCAGAGTGTCGGGTGCTGGTAGAGGGTCTGTATTGTGTAGAGAGAGAAGGGTGTCAGGATGGGAAATGGGAATAGGCCTGAAGTATCAGATGCAGGTCAGGAAGTATCAAACTTCCCCGATGCAGGAGAAGTTTGGTGAGATACGGGTCCGGGATACTGGGGTCCAGCATGTCAGGGTCCAGAAGCCAAGGCCAGCCCAGATGGGGCCAGAGGGAACCAGGCCCTAACTCACAGATGTCTGCCTCGCAGGAGCCACCATGCAGTGCTTCAGCTTCCTTAAGACCATGATGGTCCTCTTCAATTTGCTCATCTTTGTAAGTATGAAGGGTGAGGGCTCTTTGGGGCTCCCTACAGGAAAAGATCACAACTAGAGCAGAGCTCAGGCTGGGAGAGTGTTGTTCCCAGACTCTGTCCAACCCCTTGGGAGTGGGATGTAGAGGTCTCCCCACATGCTGATTCCTGGTCTTAGTAGGGCTGGGCTGCCATGCAGGAGCATGTGTGAAGAAGGGGTTAGAGAAACTTAGGGCATCCTCTCCCTTCCACAAAACTTCAGCCTAGGCTTCTTTGGGCAGGGTGGGGTAGGCTAGCAGGAATGATTGTGCCTCCCCACACCCCCCCTTTTTTTGTCAGAGTTTCACTCTGTTGCCTAGGCTGGAGTGCAGTGGCCACCGCAACCTTGACCTGCTGGGCTCAGGCGATCCTTCCAATTCAGCCTTCCAAGTAACTGGAACCACAGGCACACGCCACCATGCCCAGCTAATTTTTAAATTTATTGTAGAGACGAGGTCTTGCCATGTTGCCCAAGCTGGTCTTGAGCCTGTGGGCTCAGGTAGTCCTCTTACCTTCGCCTCCCAAAGTGTTGGGATAACAGGAGTGAGCCACCGCACCCAGCTGATTTTCTCCTTTTTATAGGAACAGGGGGCCTGGAGAAGGGAGGGGGTTTGCCTAAATTCATCTAATGTAAAAAGAAAGTCAGTGGCCTCTGTATGATGGGGAACTGAAAGGAGAGAGGGCCCACATCTCTTCAGAGCAAAGGATCTGCTGCAAGTAGCCCTTATTCATTCAACTATATTCATTGCTTAAGACTCTGTGCTGGGTGTTGGGGTAGCAGGTAAGCAAAAACCTGCCTCTGCCCTCGAGAATCTCATGTCTGGTAAGCCAGATGATCACTATGTAGTTTGGGCTTAGCACAGGGGGCATGGGAGCTTGAGCTCAACCTGGTTGGAGAATACATTCTGGAGGGAGTAGCTGAAGTCAGGAATTTACATGGAGTGGAAGAATTGTCAAGCATGCATAAAGGCCCAGAGGTAATGAAACCCCATAATGTTCAGAAAACCAGGAACAGATTGCTTAGGGCATGTTTGAGATGCTGAGCAATGAGGTATAAACTCTGGAGCTGGTGGTAGAGGTAGGGAGAAATGGGCACAGTGGACAAAGGACAAGGTCCTGGGATGGTGGCTGAGGGATGGAATGAGGGGCCAGGGAGGCAGAGATCTTGGAGATGGTACCCATATCTCTGGCATGAGCAATACAAGGCAGCTGTGTACCCAGGAGAAGTAAAGCTGAGATTGGAGCTGGCCATGAGTACTAGAAGATCATGTTCACATGGGTGGCCACTGAAGCCATGACAGTGGAGAGGGCTTGGAGAGTGAACTCTGGGAACCCCAACTTATTTGGGATAAGCAGAGAAAGAGCCACCCACCATGAAGGAGGTGGAGAGAGAGCAGTAGGAAAAACAAGGAAAGCAAGATATCAGAGAGGTCAAGGAGGATATGGCCCATGAAATATACACTGGATTTAGCACAGGATGTGTCACTAGAGACCTTGGAGCCATGCTAGAGTGGGTTAGAGTGAGTAAAAGGTGAGAGAATGGAGAAGTGAAGTATAGACTAGTTTAGAGAAAGTGTGCTGGGGGTGGGTAGATTCTGACTCTGATGTGATCTGTGCCTTGGGCTTCTTTTGGCTCCAGGGAACTCAATTTTATCGGTATATCTGGAGGAGGCAACAGGATTCCAGGGATTTGAAGAGCAGAGGCTCTGGCCTGAGAGGGTTAAAGGCAAATCCGGTTTGGGCAGAGCAGGGTAGGGCAGGCCTCCAGCTCCTTGAAATCTGACCCTGTAGGCTAGAAGTCCAGCTTTTTGTCCTTGGGCAAACATGCCTGGGACTCAGCCATAATCTACCGCCTCACTCCTGGTTCTAGCCTCAGTTTCAATAGCTGGAAAGTGGGAACTGGGCACCAAGGTGGTGTCTGGCTAATTCATCCACTGAAGTCCTGAGTCAGGAAGGTTTTGCTTTAAGAGCTATGGGAGCCGGACTCGGTGGCTCAGCCTGTAATCCCACGCCTTTGGGAGACTGAGGTGAGTGAATTGCCTGAGCCCACGGGTTCGCGACCCACCTGGGCAGCGAGACCTTATCTCTACAATAAATCTAAAAATCAGCAGGGCGTGGTAGCGCATGCCTGTAATTCCGGCTACTTGGAAGGCTGAGGCGGAAGGATCGTCGGAGCCCAGCAGGTCGAGGCTGCGGTGCCAGAAGCGGCCACTGCACTCCAGTCTGGGTGACAGAGTGAGACTCCAACTAAAAAAAAAAAAGAGACAGGGAGAGAGTTGCTCTGGCTGTATTCCCCCACGACGTACCCGATTTCCTCTTGTGAGTCAGAGAGTCTAGTCTGGATGAGGCACAGACCTAGAGTTGAATCCTGGCAGGGAGCCAAATGGGGCCTGGAGGCAGTGAACCTTCTCAACCTCCACCCTCTCCAGGGTTGGGAACAGGTGTAACCTCAGCCCCGCCTCCATTACTATGGTGACTACTGAGCCTGTTCCACACTACCACCCCCATTTCCACCAATCAGAGGACAAAGGCGTTCTAGACACCCATAGGCCAGAAAGGAAATGGGAGACTGGGCCCTCAACCACCTGTTTTCATGCCTAGCTATGTCTATGTGGCAGGACCCTGGCAGTAGTGAGGAAAAGTCTTGCCACTTCCCCCATCCTGTGGATATATGTAGAACTCCTGCTCTCCTTTCTATCTGCCCAGGCATGCAGCCTGGTTCTGGCTATGGGTGTCCCAGTTCCCATTTCCCTGGTTCTAGAGGATGTTTCCCTCCCTACAGGATGAATTTTAGTCTCCCTAGCCAATAAGGAGGGACATGTTTCTTGGCTCCCATCCTCTTGACTCATCTGTGTGGTAGTGAGCTACTTGTGGCACTATTTCAAGGCCTGCCTGACCTCTTTTTCCCCAGTTGTCTGGTGTGGCCCTGTTGGCAGTGGGAATCTGGGTGTCGGTCGATGGGCCATCCTTCCTGAAGATCTTCGGGCCACTGTCCTCCAGCGCTGTGCAGTTTGTCAACGTGGGCTACTTCCTCATCGCAGCTGGTGCTGTGCTCTTTGCTCTTGGTTTCCTGGGCTGCTATGGTGCTCGGACTGAGAGCAAGTGTGCCCTCATGATGGTGTGTCAAACCCAACCCACAACCATTGTCCCCTCACCCTTGAAACCAGGCCTTAGAGATCCCCAAATGCTGTTTTGGACTCCAGGGATCTCAGTAGGGAGGCCCTCTACCATTCCTGAGGGGGGGGGTGGATTAGGGCAAGGAGGGCGTGAGAGACTGTCTCTCCCTAAAACCTAGATCCCTGTTTCCCACTCAGTTCTTCACCATCCTCCTTGTCATCTTCATTGCTGAGATTGCAGCTGCTGTGGTTGCCTTGGTATACACCACAATGGTGAGGTGCTGGTACAGGGCAGGGGAGGAAGATTGAGCAAAGCCCTGGAAGTGGTCTGTGGCCTGTGAATGGCCACCTTCTCCACCAGCCCTTAAACACTGGCCTGCCCCACCCAGGCGGAACACTTCCTGACGTTGCTTGTAGTACCTGCCATCAAGAAGGACTATGGTTCCCAAAAGGACTTCACTCAAGTGTGGAACAGCACCATGGAAGGGGTAAGGTGGGCTGGGGGAGAGTTTGGGGTGGAGAGAAAGAAGTAAAGCTCCACCAACCATCTCCCCACTTTGTCTCCAGCTCAAGTGCTGTGGCTTCACCAATTACACGGATTTTGAGGGCTCGCCCTACTTCGTAAAGAACGATGCCTTTCCCCCTTACTGTTGCAATGATAATGTCAACAGCACAGCCAAGGAACGCTGCACCAAGGAGAAGGCTGAGAACATGGAAGTACAGGTGTGGGCTGACATGGAAGGGTGGAGACTGTTTTAATGGCCTCAGCATGGCAAAAGGGAATGGGGAAGAGCAGCTGCCAACTATAAATGCTCTCTTCCCTCCCCCAAGGGTTGCTTCCAACAGCTTCTGCTTGGCATCCGAACCAATGCAGTCACCGTGGGTGGTGTGGCAGCTGGAATTGGGGCCCTAGAGGTAAGCAGTTGTGGAGGCCAGGTTGGGACATGGCCACCAGACCAGAGCTACTTGACTCTCCTTTGAAGCTTCTCTGGAGGAAATAGGCTTCTTTTTTTGTGTGTGTGTCAGGGTCTCACTTCATTGCCCAGGCTGGAGTACAGTGGCTTGC